TAATCAAATCAAATTCAAATTAACAAAATATTTGATTTGATTTGAAAATATTTAATAAAAATTACAAATAAATTTGATTTGATTTGAATTTGATTTGAAAATATTTAATAAAAATTTGATTTGATTTGAATTTGATTTGATCAAATCAAATTTAAATCAAGAGCTTATTCGATTCGATCAAATTCAAATTTGCCTAAATTTGATTTGATTTGACTTTGAGGAACCCTACTCTTCAAAAATATTCACTGCAACTTCTGTAGTCTTGCCAGAGGTACTCATGGCAATTTTTGTAGCAATAAATTCCTCAGATAACTCATCAAATGTTCCGTTCTTTACTGTATTACAAAAATTATTTAATAGATTACAATGTTATTATGACACAATGAGACAAATAAGATATATAATTAGTCCTGGCCTAATACATACTAAGAATAAATATATAGAAAGTATACATAGTTTCCTAACTTACTATTCGATTATTTTCTTCGGTTTGAATTGGTAATATAGTCCCATTAGTTAATAACTCATGTACATTTCTTTTTCCAGAAGCACATAGCAGTTTGAAACTGCCAGTAAGATGAACTTCCTTAACTACAATCTTTTTTTTTTTACAGAGTGAAGTTAGTAAGAAATTAAGGTAATAATAAATAATGTTTGATTACCTTCTCTCTTTTATGAATTAAGTGACTCCAGAATAATTTTAAGCCACCGTTTTGAGATTTGGCTTTAACCTTTTGCAGATGTAAAGGTGTAATAATGTGAGTAATTGTAAAGTGTGTGATAAAAAAAAAACATTAAAGATAAAGCAATGGGAAGCCCAGCACGTTGATCAGATACTCTTGTTATTCCCAGCACGTTGACCAATAAGAAACGCAATTACAGAATATGAAAAATTCAAGATAAGCAAAAAAAAACTAACTTTTATTTTTATTTCATCATACTTTTCTGGAACATAAGTTCGTACGGATCTCATAAACCGATTTAACCAAGCACTTTCTAGGCCACTCCAATCATCAGTGAATGGGGGCAAATTAATTTTCACAAAACATATAGATCGCCATATTTTTCAAATTACTGTAATCAGCAAATTTCATTCACTGGAAATTTGGAAATCGGAAATCTATTAAATCGATTAGCTAAAATTATACTACGTAATTGTATGTAAAAATTCTAGTATTGAATGTTTTTTTAAAAAATTGATTGAAGGTTTCTTTATAATGGCCCGGTCGATTTCAACGCTTAAAACCATTTTTAAATTGTGACTTTTTAAGTGGCAATTTTAAAAAATGAAAATTTTAAAGGAATTTTCCAGATTTTTGCGATCATCTGCTGAACACAGTATTTTGAAAAGCACGATAATTAAATCATTACCCTGAAAAATTTTTGACATTAGGTCATACAAACTTATACTATTGGTTTTCATATCACCAAGTAACTTCTTGTGACCCGGCGACCCGGCTTTTAATTTTATT